GATAGGCAACGGTGCCTCCTAGCAGTTGGAAGACAGATACAATGACCAGATAATAGTTGCAGCATGGAAATTATGTGTGTTTATACTTGTATTTGTATATACGTGTGTGTGTGTCTGTATAGGTCCATAGACAGGGCTTTAACCAAACCCAAGCTTTGAAGAGCACGAGCTCAAGCAAGGCACATACTTGGCAGGGAACTCTACGTGATTAAAGCTCTCCAGGTGTCCAAACCCTGCAGACACTTTCAGAAAGAAAAGAGGAGGCACCTGCCATGCAATCTTTTACTCATGTGAATAATCTCACTGTTTTTTTTCACTCACATGTGAAGTTGTTTTCAGGCTAAGTCATGTCTCTTTTGGAGAGTCTCTGAGATCAAGACGTGGCTCTTCATTGTGGTGCTGAAGTCTGCAAGCCTGTATCATTACTTTCTTTCCAGTCCAGATGTGCAGAGTCATGAAGATGTAAAGAATGATATTACTCAGGGTTTGATTTACAGCATTTCCAAAGACAGTAATAAGGGCTCGAGGTTTTTCCATGCAAAAAATAAAGTGACTTTGTTATACTGGGAAGTGATGACAGCCATTGCAGAGTATCGATGAGACAGACTAAACCTAGCAAAGCAACATGTGTGACTGATTTCTGTTCTCATGTAGGCTTGTACAAACTGAAAATACTTCACGTGAAATATGGTAGTTTTATTATTGTTTTACAGATGCAGAGATGAGGAATAAAAAAACTTGAACGATTTGTTGTAAGAGTAAGCAGAAACCTTTACTAAAGGGGCAAGACCAGAAATGGAAGCCAGATCTCTGCTTTTGCAGCAAGTGGAGAGTTAACAGACTCAGTCCCTCTGCCTTCCAAATCACACTGAGCTGGGGGCAGGTAGGAGCATGCTGGCAATGTTATTAATGCCTTAGATCTTGTAAAGATACAGTCTGTGGGTTCTGCAGGCTGAGATTGGCTAAAGTGTTTCAGTCAGTGTTTTTGTTTTGAAACATCATTTACCACAGCAGAAACCACACTGGGAGGAGGGATATTTAAAAAAAAAAAAAAACACCTCTGCATGTTACTAGTTTAAAAATTATTTTAATGTAACAGACAAATGCATGACTTGCTACTTCTTTAAAATGTGTTCAGGGAATATAAATGTTTTTATGCAAGAATAAACAAATGCCAAAAGGTACAGGAAAACAAAAAACTATTCAGAAAACCAATGGAAGAAATTTCCCTTGTCTGTGATTGAGCTGGCTGCCTCCAGCCAGATCAATTCAGTGACTATGGATTTTCCAGATAAGCAGTATATATTGCTAAAACTTTTAAAGAAAAGAAGTGTGAAAAGTGAACTGTTAGGGTTGGTTCTAGCTGTCCTGCATCTGATATAACAGTACCCCTGCCAAGTTTTTCACTACACAGTGTGAAGCCAGATGGTATAAGATGTCCAAGGTGACCTTGTTGTGGCCTTCCAGTATCTTAGGGGGGCCTACAAGAAAGCTGGGGAGGGACTTTTTAGGCTATCAGGTAACGACAGGACTAGGGGGAATGGGGCAAAGCTGGAAGTGGGCAGATTCAGACTGGATGTGAGGAAGAAGTTCTTCCCCATGAGAGTGGTGAGACCCTGGAATGGGTTGCCCAGGGAGGTGGTTGAGGTCCCATCCCTGGGCGTCTTTAAGGCCAGGCTGGATGAGGCTCTGGGGAGCCTGATCTAGTGGGAGGTGTCCCTGCTCATGGCAGAGGGGTTGGAACTGGATGATCCTTGTGGTCCCTGCCAACCCTGACAGATTCTGATTCTGTTTTAGCAGAGTAGTGTAGGCTTAATGGTTGGACTTGATGATCTTAAAGGTCTCTTCCAACCTAAAGGATTCTATGTCTAATAATATCAGATAGTATAAGAAGGCCTGTGAAAATGGGGCTGGCAGTGACCTTAAGAGATCACCTGGTCAATCCCCCTACCCCTAGGCAGAATCAGCTAACTTAGTGTCATTTCTGGCAGATGTTTCTCTAATCTGCCCTTCAAAGATACATCAGCCCTCCTAGGTGACCTATCGTCACGTCACTCCTCTTCCCACAACGTGTGATTCCCAATGCTTCCGTTCTGGCTGAAACTGAATTCCATTCCTTTTCCTCCTTGTTCATGGTGGACATGGAGAACAGATTATCCTTTTCATGTAAAGACTTAGAGTGTTCCCCACCACTCCTCCCTGGACGAGGTATGTCTCTGGTAAGTTTAACCACCAAGAAAGCAGAGATGAAGGCTGATGGGCTTGACTACCATCTCTGCTGGAGGGAGAGAGATGCACCCAGTCTGGTCAAGCCTAACTCTGCAAGAGTTTATCTTCCTCTTCTTTTTATGACCACTTGTTTTGCCAATGACCAGGCCCAACAAAAATGATACCACCAGCAGAAAGAGAATCCAATACACAGACTGTATTGTATACAAAAAGGACATTCCATGAATGATTGCTGGGGGTACAAACAGATCAATCAGCTGGTACATAACTGACACTACCCCCAACGATCCCACAAAAGATGTTACTCGGCCCACAACAGGCAGTAGAAACAGTGAGCCGAGTTTGCCCTGAGTTGGCATGGGAAACAGCCAAACCAGCCAGTTCAAGACATAAGAGAAAGGTGCCCACATGGCAACTCTCACCCGATCCGCCTGCGATCACAAAGGTCTAAACAGACCAGGGCCCAGCTCCAGGGAGAGTCAGGAGGTCTGCCCTGAACCAGGAAGCTCTGGGGAGTGCCCTCCACAGACAGACACTCCTGACTCCCTGCCAGTGGTCCCAGCTTTTATCCCCAAGCAGACACCTGACCTTTGTCAACTCACTGCGGGACCCCTGGGGCTCATTTCCCTTATGGCTCTCCCTGCAGGGCCGGCCGCACCCTGGGGGGGAGCTATAAGGCAAACTCACCACCTCTGTATGAAGGGCTGTGGGAATCACCCATATGGCAACCTTAATTCAGGGCTCGGGGTTCAGACCCCAGCATTTCACCGCTGCAGAGTAGATGCCTTGCTCAGAGCCCAAGTTACCAGAGACAAATCTCATCTGCTGCTGTTTAAGCAGTTCAATGGGTTTCCTGAAGTCTCATACACTTCAGTGCTGGGATTTGGTATAGAGAATGAAACTTGATATGTGAATGATTTCTTGTAGTCCATGTAATGCTGGTTTTGATTGGTTCTTAGTCGCATGCTCATGAGTGGTTTAGGAGCTTCTCTATTTTGCTGAACAGATGTTGCCAGTTTTAGGCTGTTTTCTTGGCTCTCTTGGGCAGCTTTATCTTTACATTTGGCTTAGTTTCACGTAAAGCTGTGTCAGAGGACATTTAATTTGGAGGAAATAAAAACCTTCTATTTTCTAGGGTCTATATCTCCCACTTGGAACCAAATGTTAGTGTAAAGCAGATACCTGGAGATTTCTTCCTGCTTCTTTTTACCCTGAGGACTATAATTGACAACACTTGTTCTCTGATTAGAAAAAATTTAAAAGCCACTGAACACTAGCTAAGTGCTAGAGATAAAAGAGAGCAGCATTAGAAATAACCTTCATAAATTGCCTTGTGATCTGAAGATACATATGCAGGCATATACTAGAGGTTGTTCTGAACACTATAATGTGCAGGTAGAGGCTTGGAAAACCCAGAGTTCCCACCGAGACGGTTTGATGTAATTGGTCTCTACAGAATTGCAAGGAAATTGTTTCAATGAATGTATTGAAGAGAAAAGCTTTTACTGTTTGACTCAAAGACAGCCAGAAGTCAGCGAGCTAATTAGGAAAATGGTGGTGACTTCTACTTACAAAAGCAACTATATATTGTGTATACTGGAGGGTGAGCACTATTACTCTAGTAATAGTGAAATATACTACAAAAAAAAACCCTTAAGGTCTGCTTAAGGAAGTAGCAAAGATCAAGGACTATTAATTCAGACAGGTCCCCACTATTTTTGATAATATGCTTTATTTCTCCCTTTCTTTGTCGCTTTTTGTCATCTTAAGAACTAGAATTGCATCCCTGCAGGAAGAACTTGGGGTTTTGAAAATTCCTGAAGAACCACAGAGTCACTTTTTCTCTTCCCCATTTTGCTCTTGTGGCCAGTCACAAGGAGAAGCTCTGTCCCAGCAGCTGCAGCTTCAGGGCTGGGCTCGGAGTCGCTCCCGTGGGCACAGTCCTCATGGTCCTGGTGACTGAGTCACAACTTGGAGCTCAGTGTTCTGACCCTAGGCCCACGGGCCTCTGTTTTGCAAGTAATTTAGCAACGTGAGCATCTCCATTACATTTGTTATATCAGAAGTGTGTGTTAGGAAGATATGAAAGGATATCTCAAGAGCCCCAGACTTGCATGTTTATTAATTTCAAAAGCTCGTGCAATGAACAGCAGTTTAAGTGAGTGACCTAACAGCAGGAGTTCACTTTAGACTTTCTGGAGTATCAACATACATGATCAAACGATGCTGGGGCTCCTGTGATCATCCTGGCTGAATCTCCAGTGTGAAGCCATACTTCTGTATTTGCAGTAGACTCCACATGTCTTTTTAAAAATACCTGATTAGATTCTTAGAAGTCCACTCAGCTACAGTGAGATTCTGCTGAAACATTAAGGATATTTTTACAATTTCCAGTGTTAAATTGTTTTTATATTCAAATATCTTTACAATTTAAAAAGTGTGCCTCTTCTAGGCCAAATTTCTCTACCTTTACCATCCAGTCCCTGGATATATCCATGCCAATGTCTGTCATAAATAGGAAAGCGATTTTTTCTGAAGAAAACTCACATTCCTATAGATGGCATCTGGGACTGCAGTAGCTAGGGACACTTGAAAAAAAATTAATTTCCATGACCAACAATCTTGTTCTTTTAATGATAAGAAAGGCAGTATATAGAATTTTACAGATTACTTAAAAATAAGTACCTTTTTTTGGTTATCTTGGAAGCATATGCATCTGTAGATTCTTAGTATATGTTGTTCCTTTCTTATTTTCTTTCTCAGGAGAGTTGTATTGTTCTTTGCCCAACCCTAGGAATGTCCATTTCGAATCTGTAAACATGAAGAATGTCCTTCACTGGTCAGCACCAGAAGGCACAGGAGATGAAGTACTCTACAAGGTGAAGTATTCAGTGTAAGTTGGCTTGACTGTTTTATCTCTCGCTGATTTTTATTTTAGCATTTTAAATATTTTTTTTGTTTGTTTTTTTAATGCAAGATAAAGCACATGGTTAAAAATAAAGAAAGGAGAACTAAAATATGGGTAGACTTAAGCAATATGAAACTTTTACTTCTGGTACTGCTTACTTCAGATCCCATTAAAGAAATTTATAAGGAGACCTTCTTCCTATGAAAGAGGTGTAGGGTGCAATATTGAAGCTTTCAGTATAAACGAGCCTTCTGTACAAATTTAAATGAATCTGAAGATGTAGTATTTAATAGAATATTAACAGCACCCAGTGTTTTGTTGGTCTGTTCTTACAGACCCAGCCCCTACAGATTTCTTCTGATCTCACAACCCTCTCTAGTGTAAATCCACTGAAGTTATCGGGTATTGTTGAAAACCAAGTAATGTGACTGGAATCAGGCCCTTGTATTTTCAAGATCTGCACCTTTCTGGATATCAAGGAATTTAAGTGAGGACCAGAATCTATTTCTGTTATTCCCATTGAGAGAGCACTAGGTCACTCTAAAGGACAGTGCGGGAAGTTTAGCTTATAAATAGGTGCAGCACTATTGTCATGAATGATGTAATGCTCCTTTGCCTCTTATTTATGCTTCCCTCAATCTAGTAACATTTTCATGACACTAAAACAAGTGTAGGTCTCCAGAATTTTCCTGTAACTTGAACTGGCTACTAAAAAAAGCAAGGAGTTGCTTCTTCAGGCAGAAGCTGCAACCTCTTTTGCTCAGATCTTGTCCTCTGTGCTAAGAGTGCAGTGACATAGCCCACCTCCTAGCAAAGGGGAGAGTGCTCAGTAATTATGGAATGAATGGTAACTATGTAGAAGGTAAAAGGCTCAGAGAGCACTCACTGTGCTGACTCTGCGAGGTCAACTGGTCCACAGAAGGGTCTGTAGACGTAGGTATGGCCATCTTTCACACTCAATACAAAAATATTTATATGTGCCTCTTGCTACCTGGGAGAGCAAGGCCTTGAGATAGGTGGAAAATACTGGTGAGTGATACTGTCCTGCAGTAATGCAGAAGCTGCCACACACCCTTACTAATTAGCAGCTAAGATGGAATTCTTAATAGTGTGAATTTGAGGATCAGGAGCTTCTGAGCAAATCCAGGCAGGAATTTTCAAAGGAAATTTTGATTTCTTCTACTAGTGTATAAAAGCTGGCCAGTACTGAGGTATTTCTGGGAGCAGCTGTATGCCACTTTTTCAACTAGAAATGATTTGAAGTTCATTGTATTCCAATGGAGTCTTTCTTGTAAACTAGAAAAAGAAGTAACAGTTAGTGATGAGTAGTCTCCTGTTTACTCCTCTTGGACACCCTGAGCATCATCTGTCTCCATAGACTGGGATGAGCCACTGACCATTCTGACAGAACTCTTTCTCTATGTATAAATAGTTATCCTGAGTCTGTTACTGTGTGTTTAGAGTTTAAACTAAAGCTGTGGAGACTGAAGTTGAGAGATCTCTCTTCTGTGCAAGCAAAACTGGACTTAGTTTGGTATCAGTAACATCTCAGTTAGTTCCATATGACCTTTTCTGAATAGGGCTTACTCTGATTTATTTTTCATTAAAAAATTGTGGAAATCTTGTCTTTTATCTCAGCTGAAGTTGGGCGTTCCTTGAAATTACAGATTTCTGTGGAACAGGCAAGCTGTTTTATCTGCTGTAACATCAGGTTTTGTGCTGTATTTTCAGATGAGTACTATCATGGAAAATATACCTTTTGTACAGCTCCTTTCTCTTTCAATATAGATACGGTGTTGGGAAATGGATTAGAAAGCCAGAATGCAGGAATATCAACAGAACATGGTGTGACCTCTCCAATGAGACCTCTGACTACGAAGAACAATACTATGCGAGCGTTAAAGCCTTGCTAAATGGGATGTGCTCTGACTGGATGGAGACCACACGATTCAACCCTCTTACAGACAGTAAGGAAAGCTGATCACACAGCCAGATGTTCAGTGGCCTTGACTAACACTGTGTGCTCAGACTTCATAGTGCCTTCATAGCATATGGTATTTTAATTTTGACAGGAGGTTAGATTTTTTTTGCAGTTGCTTCACATTTATGCTTTTGGCAGAAGTACCTGAAATAATCACAATTAGAATTTGGATATATGTGTGTTACATATATGGTCTTATATACACTGAATATTCTTTTATGGTATGGTAAAGATTTACTGAAAGCAAATAAAAGCTGTGGCACATCCACAGTATAAAGAATTTTGATTTTGGAAAGACTCTATTAAACTAAACAGTAACCATACTGTAGAGCACAATGTATCATATCTTATAATCTGAGAACATACTGGTAATTTAGCTTGTTTTAGCAAATGGAGTTTCAAGGTCATTTATCCTGTGAAGTCACAGGAATTCTTAGGCAAAATTCCAAGTTATTGTTCACCTTCTCACTGTAAAGATGCTCTTAGTTATCTGATAAAATAATTTTCTATCAATATGTTTGAATTGTTTTGAGTCCTACTTACGATCCTCAAAACATTACAAAAATTTAATATCATCCATTTTAAGAAACTACATGGTCAAATCAGCGTGCCTCTGCTGCATTTCACTGCTTGTTGTACATGTTCATTTTTCCAGCTAAAATTGATCCACCCATGGTAAGTGTATCTTCTACTGAGAAATCTATTTCAATCATGCTGACTGCTCCTGAGAAGTGGAAGAGAAGTCCTGAGGAAGAATCTGTATCTCTGCTTCAAGTGTACCCGGGCCTGCAATACAACGTGTCTGTCCTCAACAGAAAAACGAAGAAGCGGGTAAGCTTTGACAAGGCTCTAGAGCTGCACCTGTCACATCTCTGCTCTCTGCTTCTTCAAATGTGCTTTGTCTGTAGCAGCAAGAACCAAATAGGATTCGTAGCCTTACAGGAACTGTAGGATCACTGGAAGACAGCTCAAGAGGTCTCTAGTCCAAAGTCCTGTTCAAAGCAGGATCAGCTCTGAGCTCAGACCAGGTTGCTCAAAGGTTGTTCAGCTGCTTCCTGAAAACCTTCAAGGATAGAGACTGTACAACCTCTTCCATTGCTTGACTTTCCTCTTAGGGAAAACGTATTTATTTATGTCCAATCTGAACCTCTTTTTTGAACTTATGTCCATTGTCTTGCATCCTCACACCATTCAGGACTGTGAAGATTCTGTCTCTGTGTTCTTGATAACCTCCTTGTATCATCCTGGGGGCTGTTGTTAGGTCCTCCTGAAGCCATCCCTTCTTCCCCAGGTGGAAGAAACACCAGTCCCTCAGCCTCCCCCCACAGAGCAAGTGTTTCAGTCCAACCATCTTGGTGATCCTCTACTAAACCCGCTTCTGTTTGTCAGTCTTTTCTGTACTGGTGGGAACAAAACTATATCCTAGATGTGCTCTGATGAGTGCTGAATGGAGGGGGATAATCCCTCCCCTCCTTCTCCCTCTTCTCCTGTTAACACAGTCCAGGATGCTGTTGGCTTCCTTTGCTGTGAGGGCACTTTGCTGGCTCGTGTTCAACTTGCTGCCTGTCCCCAGACCTCTTCAGCAGGGCTGCTCCCCAGCCAGTCAATTTACTGGCAGTACTCACAATACATCGTGACAAAGTGCATCCTTTGTCACCACATCTGAACATCTTTGTTTGTCTGTCTCTGCAGATTTCCATTTCATTAGCATTAGTAGTTCCCAGCAGAAACACAGTAGATGAGGAAGAGTTCAGTGGTCAGTTACAAAAACATTCATTGTTTTGCTCCCATCCTTCAGGTGCAACCTCTGTCTGACAAATCTCTGAATTTCTTGAAAAGAGACAGAAGCTTTACACCAAAAAGGTCACCTTCTGTCAAAAGGAATATTAAAATGTAAAGATTAGTGGTTAGAGGTATAGAAAGGGGTTTTGTTTTGTTTTGTTTTGTTGGTTGGATTTTTTTTACATAAAGATGCCTGACATATAACAATTTACTTTGGACTCCAGGGTGTACATAACACCCATTATTCTTAGGCTTCTATCTTTACCAGAACATCTCAATTTGAAAGATTCTGTGGAATGCTGCCATGTGGCTTTCATTGGCCCATGTATCAGGACAGTGCTGAAGTGATGCTTTAGCCCTATTACAACATCAGCATGAGAATGTGAGTTAGTGGTGGCACATTGTCCTACTTCATATGAAGCGTGAAATTATTCAGTAGTGGTAGAATAATGATTGAACAGAAGGTAAAATATTCAGAGAGGATGTGATGTTTAATTGCATTTAGAAGAAAAGGATGCAGCTGGCTGTTCTTACAGTATCATTATTCTTTCCAGAAAATTTATGTGCTTGTGACACTTTTTTTATACAGGATCTTTGCCTTTCTGTAACTGAAGTGTTAAAGGGGAAAAAAAAATATTTTATATCTTCCAGTGGTTCTTCTCCATCAGCAACAACACCTTGGTTGTGCCCTGGTTAGAACCTGGAACAGCTTATTGTGTCAGTGCACAGATACATGTCACCACACCACTTTTGCACAGTGGATTCTCCAAAGAATATTGCATTGTGACCTTGCAAGGTATGTGTAAGCTGACAAATTACAAAAAGAAGATGCAATTTAGAAAAAAATCAGGGTGATATGAGTTTTCTATTCTCCATCCTGAGAGTTAAAGTTAGTATTGTTTCTCCTCTCTCTATGCACTTGTACTGATGAAAAAATCTTTGCCTTTAGTAAGACATAGATGGGATCTACTGACTGGAAGGTACTTCAGTGCCTCTGAAGAAGAGGATCTGCATTATTTGAGTCTTAGTGATTTGAGAAATTTTTTTTTCTCCTTGAATGAGGTTTAGGAGTGGCAAAGCTGGATCAGTCTGAAGTTAGCAACTGGAGAACCTGATGAAGGTGTTGTTCCTTCTATTTAGGATTTAATATATGGTTTAGGTAACCATAAAAATTTGTCCTGTAGCTCAAATGTAATTTTGTTTAAAATTTCCTGCAAATTCCTTTTTTATCTAAAATGTTTGCATCCTATATCCAAAAAGCAATGTTGTGAATGCATATATTACTATTTGAATACATTAAAGTTGTTCAGTACAATGAAAACTTCTGTTCTTTTAACAGATAAAACAGCAGATGAGACTATAACAACCGTATTTGGATATGTTCTGCCTATCATGCTGGTTGTCCTTTTTATTTCAATGACATGCTATTATGTGCACAGGTATATTCATGTCAGCAAACAGAAACATCCAACAAATCTGGTAAGTGTTCTCTGTTGCAGGAGGTCACTGCCAACCTTGGCACACACATGCAGAGCTCTTCATTTTCTGGGCCTCCAAGTCAGCTGGGAGGAAACAATGATTAGCTTCAAATAAAGGGTCTAGTTTCCATTCAGATCAAGAAAAGAACATCACATTGAGGGTTATTAAATACAAGAAAAATTGAGTAGTAACTCAATTTAGCAACTGTGTCTAAAAGGATGACTAGATCTGAAAAACTGACCAGAGCTAATGAGGATCAGAACAGAGCTGTCTGTTTGGGAAGAGTCATTGCCAAAATCAAGGTCTGAGGTGCACTGAGGGAAGCTCTGTTAGGAAGTCAGCATTCACTAAATTTTTCTAGGAAGAAGCACTGTAGAGCTTCAGTGAACAAAAGTTATTAATTTGTTGAATTCAGAAATAAGAAAGGAAGATAATTAAACAGTACAGAAGCACTAGGATGTTTTCTTGGACTGTTACTGGGTATTGCCAGATTTTTCCACTTAATTATGATTTTGATGGATTTAGCATGTGTGCATCATACAGATAATTTAATCTGGATTTCAAGAATACTTTCAAATACTGCACCATTTCCCAACACCCAAAAATGTGTGAACAAACATTCTGTTTTTCAGAGAGCCCAAACACATTTTCTACCTAAAAATGTTTGCAAGTTTCTTAGAGCTGCAAAGTTTTTTCATTTTCAGAAAGAATCACATAAAGTCAAAGAAATGTTACTGGTTTCCAGCTCACGATCCCAGCAGAGCTTTCTCACAGTTATCTCTAAACAAGCTGCTCAACCCTAAACATGCAATTACAGTAATGAATGAACACTTTGATGTGGAACTGGGGAGGTGGAATAAGCAGTTTGGTTTCATCCAGCACTCTTGGCCTGGGGGAGCTTTCAGACTACCTAGTACATCAAGGAGTGGTCTTAGTCTTCCATTCAAGCCTGAAAGCACTAAAGTGCAGCTTCTGGTTGTTGATTTTCTATTGCACTTACCTTAAGTGACTGTTCATACAGTATTTAATCCTGTTGGAAATATTACTCATTTCAGAAAGATTCCTGTTATTTAAGTAGATGATTTATTTTGACATGGGGAAGATAAGAAATGGGATATTGGAGCTGTTCATAATATAGTTTTACTTCAGATAGAATTAAAAGAAGTGGAGCATATTAACACTGCTGGAGGTTTATATGATGAACTTCCTTATTCCTTAAACTGAAATAACCTGCTTAAAAGGTATAGCCTAGGCTTATGTTTTAAAAGTACATGACAGTGTAAGAAGCAGCAAGATGGTATTTTTACTACACTTCACTCATTTCCAGGTATGGCGCCACACCGACAAATGCAAGGACATGGTTTTCATACCACGTGAAAAAATAGCGGTCAACCTTATCACTGTTAACGTGGATGAGGACAAGCCATCTCAAGAATCCAGTCATCTATCAGAAAGGAAAAGTCCTCGTTACTACACTGTTTACAGTGGCACCGAAGGGAAGGATTTGCCTTTCAAAGAAGTGCTGGAAACAAAACAGCTGCTTGATATTTCACATGAAGAGGATATTGTAGCAGAACAGGACCAAACGGGGAACTGGCCATCTTGTGGCCAGGCTGGGACAAAGAATACTTTGAGACTGAAAAGTGCAGAGACTGTAGAGTATGAACATGATATAAGGGCTGAAGACTTCAGTCTCAGTCAGAAAATAGAGGAGAAGAATCCTTGCCCCACAACACTATTAGGTGAGCCACAGATTGTTTTGGGGGACTTGTTTAATATGAAAACAGGACAGCCATATTGTCCCCAGCTAGAGGTCGGGGCAGCAGACCCTTATTTGGGACAGAAAAAAAAGGAATTTAATTTGAATATGGTTGATGTAGCAGATGAATTGCTGGGTGAGACTCATATCAACTTGGTGGACTTGGATACTGAAAAATCTGGGCAGACATCCTATCCTCATCTGGAAAAAATAGCACAGGTCCTCACAGAGAAAGAGCATGAACAGACCATATTAGTAGATTGGGATCCTCAGACTGGAAGACTGTATATCCCTATCTTGCCCAGTGTTGAAGATCAGATGTGTGAAGGACTGCTCAAGGGTGATGATGTTGGCAAAGGAATTTTGTCTAGACTGTATAAGAAAGAGGTGTCTGGTGAATCATCGGAGGACCAAGAGATGTATCTCTTGCAATTCAAGGAACAATGGGAACTGCGTGTAGAGATGGAAGACTGAACAGTAAGTTTCTGAAATACAAAGTGTAAAATCCTGTTTAGTTTGCTGAAGAGAGTGACGGACTCAGTAGGGCAAATAAATTTTAAGGTTTTTGGAACCATCACAGCTGAACAACTTTGTCATGATTTGTTATTTATAACACTTTCCAGATGTCATGTAAGTGATTCTGGCTTCCGTCATAAAACTCTCAGGTAAAACATCATGGTTATGAGATTAACTTCTTTTTTTAAAACTAGATATTTTTACACAGGATGCTGTTAGGATTTTCATATTGTATTCCTACCAAAACAAATTATCAACGTTTGAAAGCATTTATTTTTAGCAAATAAAAAGCAACAATATGACATTTTTCTGCACTATTTCATGTATCTTGGCATAATGCAGTCTTTTCTAGGTCTCATTCATGATACTTAGAATGGCTTGAGCTGGCTAGTGTGGAAGTTAAGGGCATTCCAGTATATGCTTGGTTTTTGGAATACTCTTAACAAAGTTCTTATTTATTTCTCTAGAAAGACTTGTATGAGGTGTGGAGTCCCTTCCACACTGTGCTGCACAGATGTGGAACCAGCAACAGTTCTGTTAGCAGGTTGTGCCTACAAGATCAACCAACATGATGGAGAAGAAAGCAAGCATTAGTCATATTTTAAACTCGGGGAAATGTGGCAAAAGGGATTGGGTGAAATGCCTGTCATCTTACTGGACAGACCATGTCTCACCCTACACTCACAGTACAGCATCTGTATGACTCATGTCCTGCAAGTGTCTGTTCCTCTCCAGTGACTTTGATGTCAGGCTGGTGTGACTTCCTCAGACAGAGGAGTCTGCCCCTGGACACCCCACAGCTCCTTCAGACACATCCCACTTGCCAAGGCAGACACAGAAACTGTCCCTGTGGGCTTTCTTTTCTTATCTGATGTCCTGATATAAGTCCACTTTTTCTCCACATCATGTGATATTTATGTAGGATAGTAAAATTACAGGATATTCTAGAAGTTACTTGCTAGCTAAGGTGATACTTTTCTTTTCAAAACCTATCTGTTGCTTTTCTACTTGATGGAACTTTTCTTTGGACACCCAAAAAAAAAAAATCACAGTAATGATTTGTTTGGTTTTGAAGAGGAGAAGAAAAAAAAAAAAGAGGAAAAAACTCTTCTATGGTGTATAAAACTTGTACCCTCCAAACTAGATACATGGTTTGGGTGTATTTTTGAAGGAAGACCTTTACCATTCTCTCTTCTCTCAGGTAATGTTTTTGTTTGGCATTTTCTGTGACTATTCATCCTCTGAAATATTTCAGTTGTAGTCATAGGCTTTAAAACCAGAAACAACAGTAGAATATTTCATGCTGATGACTCCTTAACTGATGTAAACAATGTCCTCAACTGCTTTTATAATAAAGACGTAGATGATGTAGCAGTGTTATACCCAAATACTTACATCAACACCTTTGTGCATCTGGAGGTTCACAGAGGGTTATAGCTCAGTGTTAAAGAAGAAAATAGATGGAGATGTGAAAGGGTCAAAACTTCTACTGCTACCAGCCTCATTTAAGTAATCCAGAACCTTTCTCAATATTTCCTAAAAATTACCTAACTAACCTCTTTGTGCATATCTCCTGTCTTTCATAATGTGGGGGCTTTAACTCCTACATAGGAAACAATTATTTACTTTTCCCTGCAGTCTGTTGAATTTTATCCAGTTAAATGCTGCCTGAAGACCAGTCACTTGTGTTTAGTCTGTCTTCCATATGGAAAGGTGGGGATGCTCCAGCTCCCTACATAGTTTGGTGCAGTTGCCAGCCAAGTGTCCATCATTTTTGGTTTGTATTTGCCCTGGCCTTATTTTCCAGCTTCTCGTGTCTGCCTCGCCTCTTTTTTGTTAGATGAACAAACCTTACACCAACAATTACTACATGTATGGATACTTAGCATACCATAATCAAGTAACTGCTAATTAAAATTTGAAACCTTGGTAACTAAACAATAGAATATCACTTCATTCGGTTCTTTGGTCATCATAATCTTCTTTCTTTGCATATTACCCCTTTTGGGTTTTTGTTGTTGTTGTTGTTTGGGTTTTTTTTGTCGTTTTTGGGTTTTGTTTTGTTTTTTTTTTGTTTTGTTTTTTACTTCTCAGTTACAATTAAGTTCTATAGCATTTATTTCTTCTCTTGTACTTGAAAAAACATCACCCTCCTTATCAACATTACTTGTGATCAGGGCACAAGATACTGAGATTCTTGCAATCACAGAGGCATTTTCATGATAAATTTATGCTTTGAAAGAGCAGTTAATTTTTGGACCAAAATACTTGTAATAGAAATTTTCAGCACTTTCAGTGTTGCTTCCTTTTGATCTGAATTTGCATGAAATTCAGAACTGATACTAGATTATGCAAACAGTCCTTCTTTGTATTTATAAGATACATTTTCAAAGTGTTCTCAGGATAATCACAAAAAAAAAAAAAGAAAGCTGGAGGGGGAAAAAAAGTAAATGAAGCTAAGAACTTTCTTTTATATGCAGAAGAAATTTTAGGGTTAGCTAGTCAAGTTCTGAAACTGATGAGGCAGAAAAAATGGTGCCAGTTTCTATCAATATAATACTAGTAAATTGTCGAATGGCTGTTTTAATATCCTCAAAGTTACTCATCTTTTCATTAAAGTCTTCTAATTATATTAAATAAATTAAACTGATCAGACATGGTACCTTCAGCAAGCCAGTCAGCAAGGAGCAAAATACTTCCATGTAAAATTGCAATCCTACCTACAAGATTTCGGACAGGAGGCAGCTATTAATTATATAGAAGATCCAAGCAGTAAGACAGCTGACATGTCCCTAGTCTTTATTACACTTTACTAAGCTTTGGTTAGCCACACTTGATAGACTTAATGCAGTCAAAAGCAATGTCATGTCTCTAGAAGCAGAGACTATACTCAAAGCTATTTGCAGACTTAAAATAAATCATTTAGAAACTTATGTGGGAGATTAATGGAATGAATTATGGTCAACAGTATGTTAATATTATATATAATATATATAATACTGTATGTTATACATTAACGTATGTATATTTCTTCACAACGATGGCAATGAAAATAGAATTTCACTTGCGTCTGCAGAGCTGATGTGAACACTACTGGTAAAACTGCATCCAGTTTACAAAATAAGCCAAGCCATGAAGTTAGAAGGCCAGAGGGACCTGGACAGGCTGGAG